TTAAAATGCTCACAATGTATGGAAAAGAGTTGATTCTAAAAACGCGCAAAATGTGATGAAAATTTCGCTAAAAGTTGATTGTTCGAAGTTTTTTAAAAGTTGGCCTAAAAATGCACGTTTTCAATCAAGYCTGGTTAAAACTTGAAATTTAGTCTATAGAAAAATTTTATTTTTAGAATGTGCAAAATTTTATAAATTATTGTGTAAAATTAATGAAAATTACTAAGTTCAAGCTTTCTAATAACTATCAATCTAGAGYAGGCAGCAACTTGAYATTTTTACAGTCTATAMAAAAAGCTTCATGCTGAGCATGATAAAAAAWWTCYTTTAAATCGTACTGAAACTTTATTTTTGAAAAATGTATGTTAGTTTGTTAATTATGGTGTAAAAATTAATGATTATTAACAGATGCAAGCTCTGGATTAAAAYTCTCAACTCTGACCGAGACCGAGTCCCCTAACAACTTGAGGGTTGTTCTSCATAMCATAAAAATYTTATCAAAATTGCACTGAAACCTGCATTTTTRAAGATTTTTGAAAGTTGGTCGAAAAATTACCGATTCCACTCAAACTCCTTCTTTGGTACAAAAATTCGTAGCTCTCAATCTAGACTAGGTAACAACTTGAAATGTTTGTAGTATTTAGAAGACGTTTCCTTTCGAATGTGATAAAAATTCCTTAATATCGTATTGAATTCGATTTTTTCGGATTTTTTAAATTATAGTGTAAAAATTAGTGATTGTAAATAGTTGCAAGCTTTGAAGTAAAAATCCTCAACTTCTGACCGACAACCACTAACAACTTGAAATTTTTCATAGCAAGATTTCCGAGAGTTGACTCGGATCACTCTGAAAATTTCTTAAAAATTGCACAAATTTTACTTTTTTTATTTAAAATTAAAATGCGTAGGTAAAGCGTTTCAAAATAACTAAGCTCAGAATTGAAGTGAGCCTTGAAACTCGATGATGCAAATTTATCTCATTGGTTTATGAATAATAGTTTTTGAAAGAAACTTAAATGATTATTGGAGGAATTAAAATCGCAATACAAAAAATATCAGTTTTAATAACAATTCAACAGTAAAAATAATTAGTCGAAACAAGTAACAATTTAGACAAATTACAAAAAATATTCTACTGTCTGCCATTTTCTTATGCAAATTTGGCATAGTTTCTTCATTGCCCTTACAGCATTGAGGTTGGGAATAGGCCGTAATTCGTCACCACCTGAAATTACATTGTAGCTAAATTATTCCTTGGTAGCGTGAGTTCGACATAAGAGCTTAACGAGTTCGACAATATATTTTACTTTTTTAAAATCCCCACAACGAAGGTTCTAAGGAAGTTGAATCAGGCGGACGAGGTTGGAGCCATTGGTGCCATTGGTGCCTGTCCGTTTTTGAGGGAAATACTGGCTTAGCTATTCGATAAACCGTCGAGAATTATAGTTGAGGGAAATATTCCCAACCTAGAAAACGGTATTTCATTTAATAGTTCCGCTAAATTTTCATACAAGATCTTAATATAAACATCATAATTCAAATGTACGACAATATGTTATATTTAATGAAACAACTCGCATGGAATGCAAAACCCGTTTCTGCATGGTACAATATGAAACTAATAATTAGGACCTGCCGGAAAATATAAATTCTGCCCATGATTAACAGTCAGATGAAACTAAACCATCTCTTGTAATAGATAATGTACACAAAAATATAAAATTGCTGCCTTAAACAATGAATATTAACTAAAGCAGCACGAAAAATCATGTTAGTGATATAATTCAGCAAAAAGACAAACCGACAATAATTTAGATAACGAGACACCTGAAAGTTGAATACAGTTTAAAAGAAAATTACCGAAGAGATTTACCAGATGAGAGAGATGCCAACTATAAGCCAGCAGAGAGTTTTGAGAGCCAAAGAAAAAATGCAAACGCAGGAAAAAAATGACTAAGTAAAAGTGATGACTGGGAATATAATGGTATTGCGGCCAGCGAGAAAAAACGATATTTGGTGGCAACGCAGCCAGCGAGATGCTGCAGAAAGTTAGGGACAGCTCGACATATTTAGAATAGGGAATGTTCCATAATTGACCAGAATATTCGAGTGTTGCCAAATTGCTATATAAATCAGCGCGACTGTGAGCTGAAGTATGAGTGTACGCTTAATACGACTGTATACTTAAATTGTGTTTCTAAACTTAGTATATAAATAATGAAAACTGATGTTGTGAAGTGAAGTTAAGAAGTTTTGTGAAAAAACATAAATAATAAGAATGGTCATTGAAAGGCACGCATTTTCCGCCAATAGTAGTAACAAGTAGTTCAAAGGTAAATTTTAATACCTTAAAATTGTTTTAAACTGAATGAAGTGAGAAAATTACCGTTGCTTCAGTATGGTGGTAGATTTATACCGATTGAAAGAAAATAAACTTGTAGTTGAGGACCAAAGGTCTTTAAACAAAACTGCTCTACCAAGTGACTCCACCCGAATCACAAAGATCACACAGCAAAAATGTTGCCTGCTGCTCTCTAGGGAAATCTATGACCAACTGCATAATCCAGCGAATACCGATAGAAAATTAAAATTAATTTCTTAAAGTGTAAAAAGTTTTCAACTAAAAATTGAAGAATTGAAAGAATTATTCCTATACTACGTCTAAAAGCGTATGACCGTAAATATGTCTGCAAATTGCAATGCAAGAGATCGAAACTGCAACATCTCTTGATTTAACAATACCACATTTTAACTGTCCGGCTTTTCATTGCATTAAATTATTGTCGTTTCTCCCTCAGCTTTTAGTCTGATCCAGGGTGCCTATACATATTCATATAATTGTAATCGCATCATGCATGTGTCATTTGAGCACTGTAACTACATTTCCTGAGCAGTCGGCGGGTTATCAAGGCTTTGCGAGGGTCCCGCTCGAGTTACGTAATAAGTCTCCCCGCAGAATTTTAATGTGCCATTATCAGTTAAGCGAGAAATATGACGAGAGGGAGCTAAATCTCCTATATATAAAATTATTTTTACTCTAAGCTGAAGTATTTCTCCCCTTAAGCTTTCTTAGTTCGTGGAATTTAATCAGCCTTACCTTTCCTTTACCACTATTTGGGATTAGGTGTTTTTAGGTATAAAATTTCCTTTTTTTGCAAGAACATTTTTCGTCTAGGTTTGAAATGGAAAACTTTCATATTAGGACTAAAGCGAGCCGTGAAACTTTTATGGAATTGTAGAGTGAAGTAGCTATCTAAATGCGGAGCAAAGGGCTCTGTACAACATCAACCATATTCATATTTATGATTTTACGGGTAGATTCATATTAAAAAGTCTAATGCACATCAAATTTCATTTAATATTCGCTAAAACTATACGGGGTAAGAGAGAAACAAAGTACTAGATCACAATTTTGATTTCAAAATGAAAACCAACAAGTTGTAGGTAATTTTCTTCGTCCGAACAAAACAGTTGTAATAATTGCCACTACCTCCATTTATAAATGTAATTCGACAAATATTGTTAAACGATTAAAATAGTATGGCTAGGCTTCAAATGCGGTTTAGCCAAAACGGGTGTCAGCAACAAAGTTTGTTAAAATTCAAATCATACTGCTTTTTAAACTCGAAAAATAGTTAAAATATCAATCCTTGAAAATCGGTATATTTAACGAAATTAAACAATGTAAACTTTTTTAAAATTATATTTATATTACATAGATTGCAAGAGAATCATTTCCAATATCAACCTGTAAAAGATAATGTTAGCAAATAGATAAATGAAGAAAAACTTTAACTTTTGCATCTGCTTCACTTTGCCGATGCGGTAAAGATATTGCTAATTCCAAAAATCTAAGTCTGTCAAAATGCCTCGAATTCGACGTAATTTTCGTCAAAGAGAAACGAGGAATGTAACGAGCTGAATAAAAACACTCTTGATTCCTCAGATCCGAAATAATGGGCATTTTGTAGTTGTTAAACCACTTTTGAGTGATACTTTTAATCGGCAATATGCTCCTTACTGGAAACCCAAAAAATTTATAAAATGTTTTTTTCACAAACTGTTTGTTGGGTATTTTGCCTCAAAATTTGTTGTCTAAAAAAACAGAGTTTGAGGCGAAATACCCAACAAACAGTTTGTGAAAAAAAATAATCCGCTTCATCAATGTAATCTTTATTTTTTATTTTGTGTTTGAATCTGACTGACGATACTTTTGCAAAACTAAACTTTTTTAAACTGCATTAAAAATTTACAATATCTCTTACTTGGGCATTTAACGTTAACTATTACCTTTATTTCATAAAGGTATGAAGAATTATAGATCTTGCTTTGTAAATTGAACATAAAAATTATTAGACACTCCAAAAACAGCTTTGACTAAACTAAAAGAAAACATCGATAAAAAACCAAGAAAGCCATAAGAATACGCACTAGAACCAACCACCAAGAAAGCCATAACTTGGTTTATCACAGAAGTTAAAAGAGTGAAAAGGAAAATTTAAAACATTTTTACAATACAAGGAATCTCTAATACCTGAAAATCAAAACAGATTGAAAAAAATCAAGAAACTAGGTCAACAATGGGATCAGAGAAATTAAGGAAAAGTACTGACAAATGTTTAGCAATGAAATGGACACACTAGGATGTATGGGGCACAAAAGCGGATATGGAAATTACTAAGGGGAAACAAAGGAAACAATACAGATAGGCATAACAGAAGAATACACGAAATTGTTCAATCACAAAGAAATGAAGAAGAAGAAGAAGGAAAGCAGCTTTGCCAGACCGGACAATTGCTTTTGCTAGATACTTTGATTTAAAAAATATAATACTGAAGCCTGAAGCAGAAGAAAGAGGAGTACACACTTCTAACAATGTAAAAAGGTTGCTCCAATTGTACACTATTGATTGATATTTTCCCCCAATTAAAAGGCAAGTTTGCAGCGTAATTTAAAATTACCCTAGCTGAAAAGTAATTTCCCACATCGCGAATTGTTATAGCTATGGCAAGCTCAATTTTGGAGGGTGAAAACAAGATCGGTTCATGCGATAAGCAGTTACTTTTCATTTTGCGCGCTGACATCGCTCTCGTTTTAAAGATTACTTTGTATGTGTATAGACATCCAGGTTATTATTATTTTATGCTATGGCAAATTATCCATCAAAACGCGACCCTTGTATGTTGGTGGGGGATTAAAAAGAAAATTTTCTTGCGGGAATATGAATTTCCTGTTATGTTAACGTTATGCTGAGAGGGTTGGAAGATGTAGGTTAAATATTATCGCTCACCGGGTCAGAATGGGTTATCAGGACCACGATACCATATCATACCAGATACTCGATGTAGTTGTCTAAGATATAGATTTTTTCTAAAAAAATGATTCACTACCGCTGGTCCTAAGGAAACCGGCATATTCATCGAGAAACGGTATTAAAAGGACGATATTGGTGTAAATGTGTGGTTGAAAATTTTACACCGAAAGCCAGTGGAATCTAATTTTTTATGGGCATTTAATTGGAGCTAGATGATTTTCCTCCTTATGAGTTACAAAAATTTAAGTATTTCTAACGATACGGCGCTTCACCACATCGGGATCGTGGCTGAACAAGATATTTAAATACATGGATAGGCCTGGGTAACACTGTGTTGAGTTGCGCTTTTGAGTTGTTGCCGCTCTCTGAGTTAACGAGGTTTAACCCATCGGTCAATGAGTTATAACACATTTACCGATGGAGATCTAAACAAGGTCATCAACATTTTTTATGAGTAACTTTTTGTCAGCAACTGAACTGAGTTACTGCGCCGGTGCCTGGGCGAGTTACCTTTTCTGTAGAAACAATTGCTTGAAAACATTTGTTATTCGTATTTAAATCAAACGGGAAAAACCGGAAATTTTGAAGAAACTTAAAAATTCTGAGCGATAAGGGTGACGAGTTTTCGAATGAAATGATTAAGTATATGCTTTTACTTTCTCTGGTCGTCGTTTGAGAAAACTTAAATTTTTTGTTAAATAAACAAGAGAAGTTTGTTTAGATTGTGTTCCAAATTCGAAGGTAAAACGGGTAGTCGAAAAAGACAACAAAAAGAACAAACTGTAAAGACGACGAGTTTTCTTGTAAAATCGATCTCTTAGCTTTTTGCATAAAAGACGCTCAGTTTGGCAGTATTTTACAGTAAAACGTTTAGAAAAAACGCGTTTTTCTGTTTAGAGAGAGTTTTGTTTAGAAATATTGACCTAAAAGAAATCGAAATTTTAAAAAACCAAGTGATTCACAGCGACAAGCGTGACGAGTTTTCAAATAATGTATTATAAACTTTCGCTTGTTCTGTGCGGGGAAATATTTTTGGGAAAAATCCAGAAAAAATATTTAGGACTTTGTTCAAATTTCAAAGCTGCAAAAGGTTCCAGAAACAAATTTACAAAGCTGTTCAGGAGCCGAGTGTTCAAATTAAATTTATTTTATAATTTTCACATAAATTACCTGAAGATTGTCAGTAGTTTAAGTAAAACTAAAAATAATACGTTTTTTTTGCGTAGAAAGAATTGCATAATAGAAACTTTGCTAAAACTGGAATGACCTGAAATTTGAAAAAATGTTCAGAGCGATGAGGGTTAGTTAGTAAGTTATTTTTTTGGAAACTTTTTTTCTCTGACCGTTTTTTCAAGATACTCTTAATTACTTTCTGTAAAAACTGAATAAAATTATTTGGTTTTTGGGTCAAATTCGAAGCTGAAAAGAGTTTCCTAAAGTTCCCTGCAAACCAATGAATGAGGCGAATTTTCTAGCACAATTACTTTTGTCATTTTTGGCTAAAAATACCCCATTATTGTCAGAAAAGAAGAAAATAATGTTTTTTGCGTTTTTCATTAAAAACATTTAGTTTTGTGATCGGTTTTTGAAAAAATCTTAATGATTTTCGGAAAAAAAATATTGTAAAATTCCTACAAAGCTATAAATTTATCTTGTAATTTTTCGCGGAAAATGCCTTAAGATCGTCGGAAAATTGTAGAAAATTGAGAGTTTAGAAGAAAGAGTAACTTTGCTAAAAGTTTATAACATTCAGAAATTTTGAAGAAACTAAAAATATTTCTAATAAATGGCCGTTAAAATAAATCTAAAAACAACTAAAAGAAAAGATTATTAACATTTTCCCAGCAAGAATCATATTATTATTTTATTAGGAAACAATTATTTTATAAACTGGCCACCTGGATCGCCAGATATCACGCTCGTGGATATTTATTAAGATCAGGACTATGAAATATCCTCACTATATTATTTTTCAAGTTCGAACTCCTTTACAAAACTGATGTCTACTTTTTATCAAAACTTACAAAAAAAGAGTTATATATTAGTTCATCTTCAAAATTAATTAAATAATATGATTTTGATTAATTTTCATGAACTATTTTTACCCAAAACACGAATGTTCTTTCGTGTTTCCTAGTTTTCACATAGAAACGGAGTTGCATTTTTTATATAATAAACATTGATGAGAAGTTTTTGGTCAAAACGCCAGCAAATGTAAACATATGCTAAATCATTGAAATTAGGATAAAATATCCATTTAAAAGCAGACAAGAAAACCCTCTGCGTATTTAAAAAATGGAGTTAGTGTCTTAAGTTATCTTATGAACTAAAAATGCTATTTTGTTAAATTTAATATTAATGCGTAGAGCGAATAAAATATTGTAAGAAAAGCTTCTTTTGTCAGTCATTAGTTTTCGATTATTTCGCAAAAATAGGTATTGGTAATATCTAGTCATTTTTCAATATTTCCGAAACCTAACAAAATTTGCAGCAGTATTTCGAGATCTTAACTTGTCATCAAGTTCGACAACTTTTCTCTAATTTAATTAAACTGCAACCCTTACCTTCTGCCCAGAGGATAGCAATAGTGACCCGTAACAATTGGACCTCCTTGTATATTAGGTATATCCTGTTTTTAGTAAAACTTCCAACAAACTATTGAAACGTGTTGAATTTAAACAAACATCAAACTCTTTGCAGAAAAATTGAATAAAAAAGCAAATTGAACTTACTTAAATTTGAGAATGGTAACATTTTGGATTCATACAATGACTGTAAATAAAATTGTTATAATTCCTTTTAAGGGCCTTATCTAGAGAGAACGGCAAAAATGTACAATTTAATATTTGAAGT